TCCAGAAAATGCAGCCACCCCTTCTTTTTCTCCACTCACCACGTGCTCCCCTTTCCCCACCACTCTTCTGTTAAAATAATGCACGGTCCTTACATAATGGGTTATACATTTCTAGTTTGGCTCATTAATCTTGTTTTCCAAGGCATCAAGTATGGTGAACAAGGCTTTAATGGTAGAAATAAGAGCTTCCATGGTGGCAGCATCATTAACAGATGATAATGAACCTACCATTCTCTCAATGAAAGCACCAACTGATAAAGAAAATATGAAGAAGGATTCATTGCCCTCACAATCCAAACAAAAGACATATATAGTTTGTTAAGGAAAAAACTAACTTGTACAAAACAAAAGGGAAAAAAAAAGGACAATATCTCAAAATATCTTTATAGAACTATCAAAATCCATCTCCTTCCAACTTTGTCATTGACCACATCATCTTCCATCCTTTTGGATTGTTTCCCTTTCCTTTTAGGCATCACTTAGTCCATTTGGGTTGTTTCCCTTTCCTTTTAGGCTTCACATGGTGGCTATATTGGTCTTTTTCTAATTCAGCATCTGAGCCCAAATCTACAAGGTCCTGTTCCAATTCTTCCACTTGGGTCATAATAATAACCTAGGATATAAGATGATAAGGGAGAATAGAAACAGATAAAAAATGAGAATAATAGAAATGATTTAGAGAGAAGATGTGAGTATCTTAATTTTTCGGAAGAGGAAGTGGCTTTATTTATAGGGAGATAAACCAGGAAAGCAATGTTCCACCACTCGCGGATGCAAATATGCCTTAAATCAAGGACCACACCAAAAACAGGAAATTGCTAATATGCAACATTCGATAAATCATCAGAGATTCAAGGAACTGTCCGAGGAAGAAGAACGCTGGAATCAAAGGGTTGGATTTTGCAGTACCAATACCGTCCAACCTTCGCGCAACCTTTGCAATATCGATTTCACAACAAATAACACTAAAAGCAAGACACCCAGGCTAAGCACAACACCCAGGCTAAGCACAACGCGCAAGATTCAATCACAAGAAAGCCCCAAAAACACAAGGCAAATGGTGTGCAGTAAAAATCGTGACAGAAAAGCTCAAAAAACCTCCATTGCAACAGAAGATCAAGGCAAAAAACTAAAAAACCTGTTCACGATCATGAAGAGAAGATCGAGGTAGAAAACTCAAAAAAAAAAAACTGATCACAATCATGGAGAAGCTCAAGGTGCACCATCAAAACCCTAATTCTCTACAATTGTTTGCTTTTCTATCACATTTCCTTTACCTCTATTTTTATTTCTATAATTTGAATAAATACGCGCCTCCTGCCAGCTTTTGGTAAGTGCACCAAGCAAGAGAAATTGTAGGCTTGCAAAATGACAAATTGGCTCAACACCAGTGTTCAATACAATCCAATGGAGCAAATACATGCCAATCTAAAACCGCAGCAATTGCCAATCTTTAAAGATAACTTGGCACTTCACCACATTGACCAGGAGGGTGAGCCTTCCTCAACAATGCAACAATTATTACCTCACACTGACCATCATGATTTGGCTCCTCTCTCGGATATACTAGAATTCTCACCAAATTCCTTTATCTAGGAGAACATGATCTTCAAACTCAGCAATGAGTTCCTCCACTATATCTTCAAAATCAGCAATTCCCTTGCATCATTGACCATTATGGTTAACCTCTTCAAGTCCAGATCGATAGTTACCCCAGCCTTTTGATTATAAGTTTTATCATCTGCTCTCTTTTACCTCTTTTTTTCTTTCTATTTTTGCGACTATCAATAAAATTAGGAGTTTTTGTGACTTAGTTATAAAATAAACTACTATTCCCTGTTCTGACCAACGAGATGAGTTACGGTTAAGCAGATTCGGCACCTCATCAAGGATAAAATGCCAATTTTCAAGATAAAGTAGATAGTCCCGCTCTGAACTCTTGTTCGAGCAGATGATGACAATCAGGAGCACCTAACATGAGCTTCAAATAACACGTATAAGAAAAAAAATTGTACAGGGCATCATCTATCTCTCAGGCTGTCAAGGCAAAGGCACAGGGAGTTCCCATTTGGAAAATTGAACCAAGTTTCTGTTTACAATTGATCCATTGTGCAACCAAAATGTTTCAGCTGAGTGGTGAAATTGCCTCACTTTCCTCTGCAATTCCCACATAATTCCACGCATTGCCGAACAAGGTTCTGAATCCGAAGCATACACCCACCAGCACCTAACTTCTCGACCACGAGCTATTATTCTTTCTATTTCTTCATCTACAATAATCAAAAGAAATAAATTAGATTTAAAGCTTAAAAATATATAAGAACAATTGTGTGTGGAACTGGAAGCTGCATTTCAACCTGGTATAGATTCCAGGTACTGCAATAGTTCAGGACCTATTCGACTAGACGGCCATTTTATTGATATCTGACTGTAATCAATGACATTCTGGAATGGCAATTCTGTTTGATCTGATAATATAACTGGAACACATTCCTGTCAAACGCAATATGGATTACCTCTCATGTAAGTCCGTCTGGTCAAGAGAGATAAACACAAGGAGGGGGAGAATAATATACCACAAAAAAGGACTCATAAAACCGAAGGGTCCAAGATGACTCTCCACGTGGGGCGAGGCAAAACTTAGAATTGCGTAGGTGTTCAAAATATTCCTTCCTTGCCAGCTTGTCAGGTCCACTGAATTTTAAATCTGGACATTCCAACTGTTTATACCATCAATACTGCTTAATATATTTTTGTACCATGACAAAGATTCATTCTATAGTCTGAGTAAGCATAAGCACTCTCTTAATCCATCCAGTTACTAGAGTATAAACAGACATGAGAGCATATCTACAATGGCATATAAAGGACAGCAACAGTTAATTTTTTCCTTAAAGAATATTATGGTGAAACAAAATGATTTTGACATACAACTAAAAACATCCATAATCAGCATAAATAAACCAATAATTTTGCAACATTCAATGGGAATGAAGTTTTTTCAAAATCCAAGGATTGGATCCATGTAAATGATAATTAGAATTTCTTAGCCGCTATAAGGTTTGCATTAGCATCACGTTTACTGATTTTGTAATTTAGTAGAACTCAAAAATGAAAAAAATAAAAATTCTAGAAAAGATCATCAAACAAACAATGATGGCAAAATATCACTGAGAAGCAACCAAGAGTAGAAGATGACATACCTTCTCTGGAAACTGCTTTGCAAGCTCTATAAGCTTAACCCTACCAGCTTTTCCTTGTGCACGTCCTAAATAATTAGCTAAATACTTCCTTTTAGGCAGAGGCAAAGGCTTGACCACGGTAGCCCCAGTTTTTGTCATACCATCATCAACATTACCTGGAATGATTATATCTTTCCATGTATTAAAGGCACTCGTATCTCTCTTATCAGTCCGATCTCCCTACATCGGCATGCCAAAGAATGAACTTTTAGCTCGAGGAACCTCTCATTAAATTGAGGGAACATGTTATGAACAGAAATTAAAATGGAAAGAACACTTTCATTAACCAAACTAGGAGATAACATTTCCGCTTCACGAATATCTTCTTTTATAGTACTCTTATTTTTATAACTATTATAATACAAATATACAGGAATAAATCAACTATAACTTTTTTAAACCACTGGCGTATATTTTGAATTACAATTTATATCTTAAAAATATATCATCACTAATCAATTATTAGTTATTAAAGAGCTACTATATACTTTTATTACTATTATTGTATCATTATAAGATAAAATCGATTAATCAATGGAAATTATATAATTTCTAAAAAGCACTAATTTTAGCTCTAAAAGTATATAACAGAAGAAATATTTGATACATATTAGAATGAAAATAAAATAAAAAGATAGAAATTATGCATTATAAATAAATATTAAAGTAATAGGTTTTAGAATGACAAGTCGAGGACGGTTAACCTGACAACATAAGTATTAAAAGAGAGAGAAAAAAGTAATGCCCTCTGAAAACGCCACAAGAACATAGATATAGAGATGAGCCACATGTTTGAAATTCTCTCTTCTATATTGGAAAACAAGCACCGAAGAATATACAATGTCTGAAAATCACAAATTAAATCGCTAATACATCAGAGCCTTGTACAAAATGAGACGCTGCTCTATTAGGTTTTCTGATCTGATCTCAATGCCTCCACTCTACCTTAGTATCCTTTTATTTATAAATATGATGGGCCTGCCCATGACATCCCTTTCTAATCAACCCCTTTTCCTAAAGATAAGGGTAGGATAAATACTAAAAAATATAAAGATATAAACGGATAACTAGCTAATTCCTATTTTTCTAGACAAAGATTGATAAAAAGATAGCTAGCTAATTTCTTTGTTTCTAGACAAGTACAAATAAAAGAATAATTAAAGTATACCTGAAAACTCACAATCTAGCAAGGGGAGACCCAACCAAGCAAACACAAAACACAGAACAGGGAGATGTATATGCATGTCTATAAATATAGTTTTCTGTGTATGCATAATTCATCGAAGTTGGGGTCCAATCCTCATGTCATGTTCTTTTAACCTTCTGATCCCCAAGTTCAACATTAAGGTCGGTTCCAGGACACTACTCAATTTTCATTCAGCAAACTAAACACCCTCTTAACAGGGTTGAGCTTTTAAGCAATGCGGGCGGTATAAAAATATTAGACAGAATTATGTGTCATTTCTTCTGAGGATGCATCTTTACACAACCCATATAAAAGATGAACACGTTGAAAAATCAAGTACTGTTACCACAAAGCAGGATATGCTTTCGGCTTTACTTGTTCTTGAAACTTGATCATTCCAAAGTTTCTTTACACTATGAAATTGACAAGGCAATACCCTAAAACCAAATTCTTCATGTCTTTCAAGTCTTCAGTCAGGACTGTGAAAAACTCAAATTTACTCATCAAAGGTAGGTTCCCAGCTCTGGAGATTTTACAAGTTTTTCTCCAAGTAGATTAAAAAATGAATGGCATAAATCAAAACCACCACCAAGAAAATGATGGAAAAACATACACTCACCTAATTCCATATCAAGTAATCCTTATATGATACTATCACCAAAAATAACACAGAAGGTAGTTAATTATTTCATGAGAACAGTTCAGCATTGCCATACCCATGCCAATTCACACATTTGCTACTTTATTCCGAAGCTTGTTTCAGCATTACACACAATTTCATCCTCATAATTGCTAAAGACACAATTCATAACACCTAACAAGCAACTTGATTCACAAACCTATCTGCCTTACACACAATTTCATCTAGAGAATTACTACATACACAGTCCATTACAATAAACAAACAGCTTGGTTCATAAACCTAATCTTCGCAGTTCTAATTCACAAACAAACAAATAAACAGCAATAATAAGGAAAAAGAGTTTACCTCCGGTGTAAGAATAATAGAGCGATTTATATACGTTGCCCATGACTTGAACAAGTGAGCACCAGCTCCACTGACCACAACACAAAAGACACATCAAGTATTAGCTACTATTTGCAATGTGTTTTTCTTTTTTCATAATACAAGAAAGGACCTTGCTAACCATTGGATTAAGGAATTAAAATGAGAAAGGTTTAATTTAAAATCACAGGGAGCGCATTGAAAAACCTTGATACAGTACATTTTCCTCCATCCCAATAAAACAACTTTCAACTTTCCACTATCAACTTCTTAATCAATTCCCTAACTACACTAGTTAGCATTTTTTCTACAAAAAATAAATAACCCCTTTTTACCTGGGGAAAACAAAAATATGGTTGCGGCCCCCTGATAATCGAAAATACGGCATTTGACTTATGACCTGCGAAAAATTCAGTTAAAACAAAGTAACTGCAATTCCAATTGAGGGAATGAAATTAAGAAATATTTCAGAATGTATTACTTGGACATAGGTGTAGTTAATTTCTTTGTCGTTAAGGCCACCCATCATTCGTGCACATTTAACATACGATGGGACAAAGAACAGATCCGCTTCCTCCTTCTTCCGCGTCCGTTGCTTCGATTGCAGAAGAAACTTGTGTATTTTCACCTACAAATTAATCAACATCAATTAACTAATTAAGGAAGTTCGGATTTGAATTAGTTAAATAATTAATTACCTGAGTGCCCCACTGGCCTTTTAGGCAAGCTTCTTCCGTGACCTTACCGTCTCGTCCGTGCAAGAGGTTATTCAAGCCGTTGATTTCTTCAGGTTCGTAGACGTAGATCTTGAGCGAGAGCTGCGACTGCCCCCACTGTAACTGCGGGTGTGACACATGGACGACGCTGGTGGAGAGGGTGCAGGGAGAGAGGAGGCGCGTGAAGAAGAAGGTGGTGGTGACGAGGAGGAGGGCTCCGATCTGGTGCGTGCGCGTGCAGAGAGGCTGCTGGTGGTGGTGCGGTGGCATTGCTCTCCATTTATTGGACGCGCTCATGGAAGATTCTTCGTCCAGTAGGGACGATGCAAGAAATGGAAGAGTGTTACTGAATGGATAAGCAAGGAACGACGTCGTCAAACATAACGGCAAGAGAGATTCGATGTGCGTTCACGATTTCATGGAAATGGATTCACCGTTGCACTTCGATGGGACGAAAAGATACAAGTGTTTTTCGCTCACACTATATCTTTTACATTCCCCGATTTGATGATACCTCTGAATTAAGGTGCGTGTCTCTTCTAGTTTTTTTCTATTTTGTTTTTTATTAATACTAAATTGTAATTTTGTCTCTAAGTTTTATTTGTTAACATAGCAATTTTTCGAAATCAAATTGTCATTAAATTAGTTATAAGACACTTGAAAGGTTCAATTTTTCAAATGAGATTTAAGACTTATTAATAAAATAATATTACATTATATAACATTAAAAAATAATATCATAATAAAAGACAAAAAATAATCTGAAAGTTTGATAAAAATAAAATAAAATAAATAGTTTCATGAAAAAGAATACGGAAGTTGTGGGAGTTACTCCCAAAACTAGGAAAAAGGGGATAAGGAGGCAATGTTAAGAAAGGATTAGAAAATATGAAGAGTTGGACGTGGTTGGTCTGGTGGTGACTCGAAATCAAAAAAGTTGGAGAGTGGAAAAGAGAGTGATACTTTCTTTGCATATAAGGTAGAATTTATTTGGAATGTATCTTTATGTGTTACTTTTCTTACATTTTAATAGTTGATTTCTCTACCGTTTTTTTTTGTTATTTTTTTTTTATTTTCGTAGTTGATTTCTTTATAGGTTTTGATCGAAATATTGATTTAGTACAACATTGAAGTTTGATCTAGTTAGTAATATGAGTGAGACATTTAATAGTGTCATTCTTACAAGAAGGAGTAAGTTCATTGTAATATGGATATTCAATTATATATGACGCAAAAATGGACTAAGAATATATTTAAAATAACTACTTATGAAGATTTAATTTGCTCTAAAATTTACAACAGATTGTAAAGGGAGTCTGCAAAATTCAAAATACTGGATATCAAGGTACTTGCATATTCATTCCAACTATTTGACATCGTGTTACTCACAATCTGTCTAACTATAGCTTTATTTAAATATCATAGTTGGTTAGCAGACGAGATCTCTGAGTTCAGGCACGCCTTAACAATTAAGGAGAAGTTTGTCGTCAACATAAACAACCAAAAATGCAACTGCAGGAAATGGGAATTGATTGGGATACCTTGTTGTCACTCATTATCAACTATCAAATTTCTCAACTTGAATGGAGAAGGCTTTATCTCTCATTGGTTTAGAAAGTCAACATATAAGGAGAAATAACTCTCATGCCCAATCAATTATCACTCTTGCTTGCCAAGTTTCATTTATGAAATTCTTTGAATATAAATATCATTTTAGATCACTAGCACATCAACATGATTCATGAATAGAATTTTGATTTTGATTCAAAAGTAGAGAAACAAGTGTGATACATTAAGTTGGAAACATAAATTAGTAGAAAACAACAATATAACAACAAAAATTATTCAACAAGTCATAAAACAAGACAAGAAAAACAAAATTGAAAGAAACATTAACTTGAATTGGATAAAATTTGGTTCAAAGTTACATTGCACTAAAGTTTTTGTTTCCTAGCTCACTTTGAAGTCTAAGATAGCAAAGAAACTTTGGAGAAAACTACTTTAAGCCCTAACAAAAATTTAGAATTATGAAGAACCCTCTAGAGATAAAAATCACATACAAGTTATCTAACTATATTAATCTAGTTACTAGATACAAGTAGTAAGTAGACAAGCTCAGTTTTGAGTTTTCATCCAGTTTAATTGATGGCATACTCCCTAGCCATGGCCAAGAACATTAAGAAGGGTTGAAGTCATCTGTGGAATGTGGACCTAAACTCTTTCTCTTGGCCATTTTGGAGCACATCTAGTAGAGTATGAATAATTTGGGTCTTTATTATGGGTCTAGTAGTATATGATTTCCTTTTTTAGGTCTCGTATAATGGGTCAAGTAATGTAGGGTTTTGGTCAAGATGGATCAACATAAGTCAACTCCCTAAGTTAACCCATAAGTGGCACCTCTTATGGTTGACTTTGGTTAACATCCACCTAGAGCACCTTGGGAAGCAAGGCAAAGACGTGATTGACTCTCCTTTGATGGATAGTAATGGCCAAATGTCCCCCTCCTAATGTAGAGGATTTCCTCCTAGTAGATGACATATGTCCTTCTACTAATGGAGAGGATTTTCTCATAATAGTGGTCACATATTCTCCTCCTAGTGGAAATGATTTTAGCCTTGTTACCCAAGTTAGAAAAGTTGAGATTTTTAGGGTTTTGCTTCTACAATTTGGAGACAAATTAATATTATAAATAGATGTATCTCCCTTCACGTAAATTCACTTTGAGATTAATATTGTTATGCTACCAAATTATTGTCCCATCGTATTTGTCTTCAAAGTCTTGGCTAGAGCATCTCATGTGGTCTCATCTAGCCAATTTCCTTGAGAGTTGATCTAACCTCTCTTAAGCGCTATCATAGATCACCATACCTTCACTCCTACACTAAAACAAAGACACATTATCATCCATGAGTCCTCCTAATAATGGAGAGGATTTTCCCATAGTAGTGGTCACATGTCCTCCTCTTAGTGGAGAGGATTTTAAGCTTATTACTCAAGTTAGAAATGTTAAGGTTTTTAGGGTTTTGCTTCTACAATTTGGAGACACCTTAAGGTTATAAATAGAGGTGTCTCCCGCTATGTAAATTCACTTTGAGATTAGTATTGTTATGCTGCCAAATTATTGTGCCATCATACTTATCTAGATTGTTTAATTTATAAATTGATATATTATTATTAAAATTAGATCAAACCTTTTGTATGTTGGCTCACCCTTTCTTTTTTCATGTTATGTTTGTGTTGTTTTCTTTCTTTTTCAATAATCACCTTTACTGGTGTGCGTAGATGAGGGAACAATAGTTGATTTATCTAAGGATGGATATGTGTTGTTGTCGTCTTGTTATTAGATTATTTTTTTTTCCTTCATAGAATCTTTAGAAAGACTCTTATCTTTCTTGTTATACTATAATTTCTTCAAAACTATATCTATGTATCTCATGTTACTATGATTATACCTTGAAATAACTATAATAACATTAGATTGTGATTTTTTTTTTCGGATATAATCAGTTAATGTCTTATTTTATTAGTCTTATTTTACTAAAACAAAACATTACATTTGACATATTAATTTTGTTAATTGTAAAAAATTTATTGAAATATCAAAATCAATTATATTTTAAAAATAATTTTATTAATTTTTAATAATAAGATAGTTAATAACGAATATCTTTTCAAAGAACCTTTAAATAGAATATCACTCAAAGGAAGAATCAAGAGGATAGCACAAAGAAAAGCATACAACGAAAATATTCATCCTACGAGAAAATTTTAAAAGAGAAGCACAGAAAAGCTCAAGAAAAAGAAATTATTTGAGCAAGATAAAAAGAAGAATATTCAAGCAACACTTTTGAGCTTCATTGTAATTTTTGCTTACTATTGTAAGAAAAAAGAAAGAGAGAAACACCAAGTGAGTCTCTAGCGCGAATATTTTATCTGAAACTATGTGGATACGTGTAGAATAGCCTATCTGCAAAGGGTAGAGTAAATTGTACATGTAACAGATAGGTCTTTTCTTATCACTTTTGTTGCTTTTGAACCTTGAACATTTAATGTAATTTAATGTGTGCTCAGAACGACAAAGTTTTTTTTTTTATTTCCTACTGTTAAGGTAACATTTGACAACTAAGATTTTCTTTTAAAGATACCAAGCGTTGAGTAAAACTTCGTCGTTGGACGAAATATTGTTTTAGTTCATGGTATCATTTAGGCAAGTAAATGCTTTTGTTGATCTTTGTCTCTTCTTTAGACACATAATGTTTAGCTTGTTTATGTTTTCTTTTATATTTTATCTTTTAGTCTTTTAGTGTGTTTTGTCGAAGACATCGTCTTGACATGGTTTGTTTTCGAGATCTAAACTGAATACCCTTTGGGTATAATAAGCTTTAAGCGTTTAATTAACTTTAACTCTCTTAGATTAATCATAACAACCGTTTAATATAGTGTTTAGGTGTTTGTGACCTAGATGTTTTTCTATTTCCTAAGAACCTAAGTGTTTTTCTAAGGTTTTCTATGTTGGGGATTGAGGTTCTAAGTCTTGTGTAGGTTTTCTATGTTGGAAATTCAGGTTCTAAGTCCTGTGTAGGTTTTTTGTGTTGGAAATTTAGGTTCTAAGTCTTGTGTTTTCATCCTAAGTTGTTTTCAGATTATTATCTCGTTTTAATGTTATTTGGTTAAAGTTCAAAATATAAGAGCGTTTAGGTGCATAAACGATTTTGTCTTAACAAAAGGCACCTAGAGGATTGTGTTTTTGTTTTATTCATTAGGGTAATTTAATTATCATTAACAACCTTTTTAGATTTTGGTTAGATAAGACAAAAGTAATAAATTGTGCACAAACTCACAAAGTTAGTAATACATAAATAACACAATCGTCTAACCAAATCACTTAGTTGTAAACTTTACTAAATTTAAATTTGTTTTAATGAAATTAAATCTTTCAATAGGCAGAGCCTTGGTGAAAATATCATCTCATTGGTGATTAATCTTTATAAAATCGTTTCAAAACATTTTTCTAAATATAATCATGCATTAAATGATATCTCGCTTATATATGTTTAGCTTTTGAATGCTAAATTGGGTTCTTTGATAAATTATGATTGCACTAGTATTATCAAAATATATAGGTACGGTGTCTCAAAAAACTAAACTAACTTTTCTAGTTGATACTTAACCCATTGAAGTTGAGAGCAACTACAACTTACATATACTTTGTTTATGTTGGATAGAAAATTTGAGTTTTGCTTTTTGTTTGACCACGAGATGAGACACAGGCCAAAGATTTGACAACTTTCAATTGTGTTTTTTCTTTCAACATCATCTTCAACACAGTTTTCGACACAAAATCCTTTTATTTTGAAACTAACATTTTTCTTCTAGGATTTAACTGAAATCTTGAGCATCAATAAACGTTATGCATAATGTCAAACCTACTAAAAGTAAGATAAAATAGAAATCCAATCATACCTTAAGATCATCAAACATATGTTATTATCATTTTCGTTCTTTTTTGGACTTTAAGTGTATGCATTGGAGTCTTCATAAGGTTTGCGTGTGACATATTGAACTTTTTCATCATCATCTCATCTACTTTCTTACCATTTTCATCCTTACTTAAGAGGACTTTAACCTTATGTTTGGATGAGCGATTTCAACAATTTCAAAAAATTGAAATACATTACTAAGTGAATTTCTATAAATTTTTAAATAGTTTTTTTGGATGGAGTAATTGACATATATTATATATCAATTTTCTTAATTGGATAAAATAATTTAATTTCTATTTTAAGGAAAACTTAACTCTATCTTTGAGTGTGAGTGAGTTAGCTCAACCTTCAACTTATGACCACTTGTCTTGACTTTCGGTCTGAGTCGACTCTCGAAGATTCAACTTAAGCCGACTAGGCTTGACCTTTAACCCAGGTTGACTTGTTTCAACCTTTAACTCTGGTTAACTCATCTTGACCTTCAATTAGGCTCGATTACTTTCAATCTTCAATCTAAGCTAACTTGGCTCAACTTTAAGTGCAAGCCAACTCAACTCAAACTTTGACACATGACAACTCAACTCAACCTTTGAGTCAGCTGACTTAGCTCGACAATCGACTTAGGCCAACTCGGTTTAGCATTCGACTTATGGCAACTCGGCTCGACCTTTGGCCTAAGTTGACTTAGCTCGACTTTGATCCAAGCTGAACCGACTCAACTTTGGCATGGACCGACTCGGCTCGACCATTGGTCTAAGCCGAATAAGCTCAACCTTTGACATAGGTCGATTTAGCTCAACCTTTGACCTAGGTTGACTAGGCCTGACCCAACTCGGCCCGACCTTTGGCCTGGGTCAACATTCGGCTAAGGCCAACTTGGCTCGACTTTGACTTGGGCTGGCTCAACTTGACCTTTGACTAGGGTAGACTTAGCTCGACCTTCGGCTCAAGCTGACTTAGCTTGACCTTTGGAGTGAGTCAACATGGATCGACCATCAATTTGGGCTGACTCAAATCGACTTTTAATCAAGGTTGACTTAGCTCAATCTTTGACTTTGGTCGACTCAGTTCGATTATTGATTCAGGTTGATTCATATCCACCTCTATTCGAGTCAACTCGAATTGATCATTGACCCGAAACGACTTGACTCAATTTTTGGTATAGGTTGACTAGACTCGATCTTTGTTCTGATTCGATTTATTTTCAAATTTTCAAATCTTAACGAGTGGAGGGAAAAAGAATGAAATTTTAAATTTTTATACTTTTAAAAGTATTTAAAATTCTTTTACTTTATTCATTTGAAATATCTTCCAAAAATATCCTTTTGGACTAAACCAAACAAATCATTTTCGAGTAAAAAATCTTATATTATTCTGATAAATAAATTATCCTTTTAAATTATCTCATCCAAACACAACATAAATATATGGATTGGAGTCCTTTACTCTTTCTTTTTCAGGCCAACCCACACTTTTGATATAATCACCCTAAATTACCTTTTTCACCCATTGGCCCAATTGCCCACGTTTTTAATATATTCACCCATATTTTTATCCTTACTTATAATTAATAAATTGTTATAATAATTTTAAAAGAATTTGATTTATGTAAAATAAACCGAAATTTGATTTATATAAAGTAAACGATGTAATCATGAGAATAAAATCCTGATTTCAAAATGAATAATTCTGAATTTTCAAAATTAAACATTTCTTATTATAATTCATTTTTAATGTTATTAAAGAAAAAAGTTATGTACGTGACTCTTTATCGAAATTTAGAGTTATATTTTTCACAATTTGTATCTTATTAAATACAGTATATATGCAAAATAAAATTTAGAATATAATTGAAAGATAATATCAATAATATATATGGCAGTGTATATGTAATGTTATTTATATTGAAAATATTTTTTATTTTATCATAGTTTTAAACATTAATCTTGTAATTAACTGTTCATTATCTAACTTCGTTCGTTAAATTGTATTTCTCTATTTTAGAGGATGAACTCTAACCATAGATATCAGTAGTTATGCTCCGGTCAACAAGTACAAAGTCATAAGTAGAAAAAATGTTCATAAACAACTCATACTTATAATTAAATACATAAAAATTAAGTGACTAAAAATGATATCACTGGGTATATAAATCCGTTGATCTTTCTTCAACGCAGAACTACAGTGTGAAACTTACCGAAAGAAATTACATACATTTAAAAACTATTTTAATAATATAATAATATATTGATATTTCAAATTAAAAATTAAAAAATAGAATTAAAATATTAATATTTTAAATTGTACTATTGTATTTCATGATTTACAAGTACTATCACCGTCACTGCTCTTCAATTTCTTTGAAGAACAACGACAAAGAAAGCATGAGATCAAGACTCTCTCTATTGACTCATGCCAATCATTAACCCTAACAACCACAGACACTACTCAGCACTGCCCACAATACCTTCCTAGTAAATCAAACCTTTTGAGAAGGGCAAACCGGTCCAAAAATACCCTATAAATTAAAACCCCTCTATTTTCATTCCCCTCACTCTTTTAGCACTCACATTCACATCATACCAAATTATATCCACAACAGCAAAACAACTTGATAGTTTATATTATAAATCAGATGATCACCGGAGAAGATTTGTACAAGGTGATGTGCGCCATGGTGCCTCTGTACTTCGCAATGCTGGTGGCGTACGGTTCGGTGAAATGGTGCAAGATGTTCAGCCCGGAGCAGTGTTCGGGCATAAACCGATTCGTGGCGGTTTTCGCCATTCCGGTGCTCTCTTTCCACTTCATTTCGATGAACAACCCGTACCAAATGAACACGAGGTTCATCATCGCGGACACACTCTCCAAGCTCCTCGTGCTTCTCTTCCTCTCGCTTTGGGCCCTTTTCTTCGCCAAAGGCTCCCTGGAGTGGCTCATCACTCTCTTCTCCCTCGCCACTCTCCCCAACACCCTCGTCATGGGCATTCCCCTCCTCCAAGCCATGTACGGCGACTTCACCCACTCCCTCATGGTGCAACTCCTCGTCCTCCAATGCATCATATGGTAACTAACTAACTAACTTCACCAACTCTTCATCACCGCGAACTCAAACGTCAAATATTATTACTAAATTTTCTACTATTTCTTTTTCTATAATCTCAAAATATATCTAACCGATTTTGGTATTTTGAAATATATTAAATTAATTGATTTTAAAGTTAGTGGAAAAATTAAATTTCTCTTCTAACTGCAAAATATACATTTTAAGATATTTTTCATTTTTGTATAGATAGATTATTTCCCAATATCATATTAGTTTTTTAATGGAAAATACTATAGGAGTAGCTCATAAGAAAGAAAGAAATGAAATAATTTTAATTGAAAATTATCAATAATAGATAGTTCTGCATTGATTTCTATTAACAAATTTTAATCGTTGTTTTCCATTAACCACTTATAATAATGACATCATTGTTTATAGGAATAATGCAAATGCAAATGCATAATCAAGATTAATGAATGTTTTATTTGAGCTTATTTTAAGAAGCGTTGGTTTAATTTTGCATTCAGTTCAAGTACCTTTTTCCAATTTTGACTGAACTCACGATGTGGTGAATGGTGTTTTTCTTCAGGTATACTTTGCTTCTGTTTCTGTTCGAGTACCGAGCGGCGACGCTTTTGATCCAGAGGCAGTTTCCGGGGCAAGCGGCGGCGTCCATCACGAAATTCGAGGTGGACGGCGACGTTATATCGCTCGACGGCCACGACATGCCGCTGCGGACGGAGTCAGAGACCGACGACCATGGCCGGATCCGGGTGCGGATCCGGCGATCCGTTTCGTCGGCGCCGGAGTCCAGCTGCTCCATCGGCAACGCCGCCGTGCTCACTCCGCGGCCCTCCAACCTCTCTAACGCCGACATTTTCTCCATCAACACGCCTCTGCACCTGCACGACGGCGACCCCCCCGCCGGCGCCAGCCCCCACCTCTCTGGCTACGCCTCCTCCGACGCGTACTCGCTGCAGCCCACGCCACGGGCCTCAAACTTCAACGAGATGGAGGCCGGCACCCCCGTCTGGGGGTGTTCACCGGTCACCGCAGGAAGAGTGTGCCTCCAGTCATCACCGGTGGCCAGGGTGGTGTGGGAGTCGCCGGGGAAATGCGGTAGAGGAGAAGAGAGACAAGGTTGCAAGGACATTACTCTCTCAGGTACGTGTATGAGTGAGTTGGTTTTTTATTTTTTTGTCAAGGTTTATTGTTTATTGTTCTTTATCTAAAATATATTGTATTATTAATTACAATTTTTTTAAACTATTATATTAGGTCAAAGAATTAAAAGAATATGTATAATTAACATTTCTTCTAAATAGAAATCGAATTGTGATGCATACAATTTATATATTAATGATTTAATAATATATTCTTTATGGCTTGTTTGTAATATTATTAAGTTTTCCTTTATGACAAACATATTTGGTTAAAAGTCCATATATATATTTTTTTGAGTTTTTTTTAGTTTGATACCGGTTTATTAAAATTCTCAATTTAGTTTGATACCGGTTTATTAAATTAACTTAACGGAGTTAAATTTTTTATGAATTGATACGTTGACCGTGACTAGTTTTTGCCATATCACTTTTGCTATCTTTCCCAATAATAGAAACTCTGATTTCTCTCAAGATAAAACTCTAGCTGCTGCGAGCAAACGCCAGCATCGCCGACGTAAAGCCGTTGCGAAGCTTCGTTCTCGCACAATTCGTATTCCCGTTTTTTTCTCAAACCTCTTGTATTTTTCGGTGGCCTCATACTATATTTCTTAAATTAAAAAGGGTTAAATATGTTTTTAGTCCCTAAACTATTGGCCGTTTCTGGTTTTCGTCCCTCTTCCAAAGTAAGGTACAATTTGATCCTCATTCTTTAAAAAAACCTTCGTTTTAGTCCTCAAAATTTTGTTTTTAGTCCTCGTTTTAGTCCTCAAAACGTTCGTTTTTTCGACTAAAACGAACGTTTTTTAAAAATTGAGGACTAAATTGTACCTTACTTTGGAAGAGGGACGAAAACCAGAAACGGTCAATAGTTTAGGGACTAAAAACATATTTAACCCAATTAAAAATGATGGTTGTAATTATTAGCTAGGTGTATACATAGGTAAAATCGGAAGATAAAAGAAAAAAATGTGTACAATAATAATAAAAATACAGAAAAAATATATCAAGTAAATGAGTAATATTGTTATTTAATAAAAAAGTATGAATAGTATTGGTATTCGTGAATTTCAATTTTTCTTAAGAGTTTAAATTTGAGGAACCAGTAGGAGCAGAGTAATCTGCTTGATATATATGCTGTTAACTTGGCACATATCTGAAAATATTTAATTGTAAGGACTTTTTTCTTTTAAAATGGAATACATATAAGAAAAATTATTCCCCATATTCAACTAAATGTAATTAATTAGAAGGAATTTTTTGGTAAAGGTCGTAAATATAAGTTTTTATAATTTTAATAATTTACATAAAGCTGATATTTGGGAACTTTTCTGTCTACAGACTGACCTTTTACACATTGCACTGCTCTTTATTTATTCATATTATACTTTTTATTACAACTTTTTGAACTATCCTCGAACAAAAAGTGAATACATATAACTGTATATATATTATAAATAAATTGTAGCTGTCTAACAAATAAAATTTACGAATTATGATAGTCTTGTCTAAGTAAAAAGTAGAATAGTTTTGAAGTTCTGTACTAACATTCTAATGTGCTGCATTAGCATTTGACAACTTCTGATTTGAAAAATGATGTTTAAGATAGAAATATTTTATATTCATTTAATATTATTTTTTAAAAAAATACAAAAATTATTTTATTTTTGTAGAGTGTGTCCAATGAATATAAAAATATATTATTTTACAATTATCTTAATGGTTTGATCGAGTGTGAAACATCATTGTTCAGTTAAAAACGTATAAGTATTAGTGGTGATGATAGTATCTGATGGATAATAGCAACGGTCCCGTGAATGAACAGTGTCGTATGCGGGAATGAAGGAAAGACATGTCATTTTATGGCAGTGTGTTTGCTTGGCTTGTAAATCAGAAGTATCAAACCTTCGTTCTTGTAGGTTGAGCTTGCGCATGCCCATGCGAGCTTTTCAGACATTGTGCGTACGTTTTGTCCCCGACCATCGTCAGCAATGGTCTTTGTCCTACTCTTACCAATTCACTGCTCGTGTCATACTCATAATTAAGCATTCATTTTTCTTTTCCTCTTAAATTTGTTCAACTATCTTATTTTTGGATGAAGCCAAATAGAATGAATATATATATATATATATATATATATATATATATATATATAATTACAATTATTTAATATTTTTTTTTTTTTCTTT